AAAGTTTCGTCTATGTATGGTTTTTAAAAGTAGGTCAAACGTCAAGGTCAAGGTCAAAGGGTAAAAGTTTTTGGTGTCCAAAGAAGGGTCTTCTCACAAGGATTACGTATATGAAATGTGAAAGCCCTATCTCTTAATGTTCAAAACTTATGGCCAAGGTTAAAGTTTTTTTTACAAGTAAGGAAATTTCCAAGGTCAAGATCAAAAGATCAAAGTTGTTAGTATCCGATGAAAGGAATTTAAACAAAAAATAAATATGTAAAGTATAAATGTCCTGGATTCTACTGTTTAAAAGATGTGGCCAAAGTAAAAATTGGAATTTTTGTGTAAGCGCGGATCAAACTCCGAGGTCAAGGTCAAATTTGGTGGTACCCAAAGAAAGGTCTTGTCACAAGGAATACACATGTGAAATATGAAAGTCATAACTTCATTACATCAAAAGTTATGGGCAAGGTAAAAGTTTTTGCGGACAAACAAAGAGACAGAGATACAAACAGACGGACGGACACGGCATAAACTATTACCCCGAAACTTCGTTTACGGAGATTAAAATGCTTTAAAATTTTAGATTCTTTTTCAATTCTGAATAATTGAAGAGATAAATGTCCTTATACATATTCATTGTCTGTGCTTTAAACGGATGACTGCACTTAACGCTGTGGTTTGGGTCCTTTTCGGTAGCTTCCGTTGCTTTGAAATCTTGAAGCTCACTTTTAAATAATTACTAAGTAATCACTAAGTAATTATTCAATGTATTGTTAATTAAAACTATGCAGTTTCATTTTTTCAGAAATTTACAGGGCTAAATAATGCAAAAGTGAACCTTGATCTTAAAATGTTGAAAATGATTTAAGGCTGCAATGAATTAAATAATTCATGTTTTTGTCATCACGTTTTTCCAAAAACAGATCATTTACACTCCTGCCAGTGATTGAAAATTATGTATACATGAAAGACGGATCTAACATATCGTAATATTGAATCTAAAATTAGACCGGATGAATAATAATTACATGTATTAAATAATACGAGATCAATACTTTCCATATTTCTATTTATTTTATACTGGCACAAGTACATTATTTTCAAATGTTTTAAACCTATGAGTCCATCAATATAAGTTAAGAATATTTTGATTGATGGCTGAGTATTTAACGTGTTCGAATACAGTGTCCTAGTTACCTAAAACAACTACTAGTACCTATAAGTCGCGTGACGGAATTTTTATTCACAAAATTACCTGAGGAAATACATTATGTGGTGAATTATAACATTCAACGTGTTACAGCCCTTGATTACAATAGAAAGGGCTAGAGGAAGAAGAAGCACTCATTTAAACCATGAGCGCATATGTTGGTCTAAGTAATCTCCTTTTAACATATCATTACTAAATAAATGCAAATAAATGCAAATACACAACTACTGTTAAAAGGAGAACAATAGACAAACATGCGCTAACAATGTATTTAAAGCTAGCGAAAACGAAGGCTTCCTCATTATCGTACGGAGATTGGAGAATCTGGGATGACCCCCGACTCAAAAAACAGATTCATACATCGTAAATACATACTTTTATTTATTGTAATTAGTACGTCCGTCCGTCTAATACACTTTGGGGTACCCATTTCTTATCCACAATTCCCCCTCTAACACCGAATGAAATTTAACGAGGCTTCACGTAATTTAATGAGGCTTTCAAAGAATCTGTGTTGAATACTACCAAAGTATATTTTTTTCTTATTATTTATCAAAGCATGAATACTGTCATTTTTTTCTATTATTGAGGGTGTATTCATCTCTTACCCCCGATTTCTTCTTTACCACTGAATGCGTAAGATTTAATTATACTTTCACATATTCTTTATTACATTGTGCCACTGTGACCCCTTATTTTGATCTGGCTTTTATTTCGGATCTTCCAGAGCAGAAAATGGACTTTGTTATTATAATCATATGGGAGGCGTGTAGTATCATTAAAGTGAGCTCAGTACCCATAGTACCTCTAGTTTCTCTTTATCCTTTGGGAATACAAATAACTTTAGTAGTAAACAATTCATTTACGTTTTTATCAGATTATTGTGTTTAAATATGCATGTTCAGTGTAATTCGTTTAGTAGGCGTGAAAGCTTTCTTTCTTCATTTCAATAAATATTATTTCCAATTTTTTCTATGCGCGTAATGTTCATACATGTAAATAACCTTCGCACAGTAAGGATTCCTGGCATAGTACTACTCAAAATAAATTTCAGCTGCCTTTTATAGTTCCATTGTTTATTGGAAATCTCATTTTTGAGTTTGCTCCGCCCATTAAATTAATAAACCTCGCCCACTGGAACGGCTGGGACTGCTTTCTGGGACCGCTGGGACCGCTCTGGGATCGCTGCGAGACTGTTCTGGAACTGCTTTGTGTCAGGTTGGGTCCGGTCGGCACTTTATAGCACCGCCGAATCTGTTTCTTATTCGGAAATGGTCAAATAACTGTAGGAATTAAATGATAATATTTGCCAAATAACTGTATTAAATTGATAGATTGTTTTGATAAGTTGTTCACAACAATATATATAGAACAATAAACGAAAGAAGTATTTGGAATATATGAATCTCCTGTGTAAGGAGCAAGCCGGATTTCGGAAAAGTTTCAGTACAATTGATCATATTTTCAGTTTAAATTGTATAATTCATTTAAAACGCAGAAACGAATATAAGTATATCCATTAATTATAAAACAAAGCATTTGACTCTGTTAACAGAGTCGCTCTTTAGCATAGACTAGTACGTTATAGTATTGGTGGAAAAAGGGAGAGGACTATCTAAGTTTTTTGAACTTGTGACCAATCCCTTTGACGTGTTGTTCATAAAATTTTTCTAAAGTTTTTCATAGTATGCATAATTATAATACAAAGTCGTGCATCCGCCAGGGTAGCAATAGTCAAAATATTTTTAAAGAAATGCCTGTGTATGTCATGGTGAAAACTTATCACATGTTCTGACCTTGTTGATTTTATTTCTAGGGCATATGATATTGAGGAGGTAGTAAATTTCCTGAAACTTTATCATTTGTTACTTTACCGTATGTTGATGATACTATAATTTTGAAAGAGTCAGTACCTCTTACACAAGCTGCTTTAATACAATATGTTCTTGTATTGTAAAACTTGGAAATTCCAAGTGAAGGCATGAAAATAAATGGTTGTTATTTTTTATAAACCTAAAACTGGTAATTCCTTAAAAGTCTTTTCATTACAAAATTCTGTATCGATGAATTTGTTTAGTTAGGTGTTACCTTTCCTATTAATATTTCTTTCGTTGGTAATAAAACTAAGCTTCTGGAGCAAAGTAGGAAAGATATGCCAAGTTAACTCACCATATTTTGCTTTGGATTTCCGTAAGAGGAAGAAGGATGATTTACAATTAGACAAGGGTAAGATACTAACCTGCAACATAATTAGGATTATCCGAGTCCTCGTCGTACAATCACTCCCTATCAATCTCTATTTACATGTTGTTACTTTGTCTTTTTAATTTTGCTCACACTTTATCATCTATGATGGGTAGTGGCGGGAAAACGTTTATTGTTTCTGTGAATTACTGGTCATTATCCGCGCTGGATAAAGATGCTTAAATTTACCTTTAGACATTCAGCTGAAACTATTTGACAATAAAGTTACACCCATATGACTTTATGGTTGTGAAGTATAAGGGTTTGATAATAACAATATCATAGAAAGGATAATTTTTAAATTTTACAAAACAATTTTAAATCTGAAAAAATATACCCTTATGATGTTTCGGGATAATACCCGGTTAGACATATTTATTAAGTCAAGAGTTTTGGGGTTTTTTGGCATAGAGTTATTAGTGTTACATGTAATCAAGACAAATATATTTTCTCTTACATAAATTGTAATTACAACATAGCGAGCGTGACTTAATGCAGCCTAAGTGGATTAGTTGTGTTGCAAAAAGAACACTAAATGAATGTGGAATGTGCGAGTTTTGGTTACGACAGTTTTCTAAAAGAAAATATTGGTGTCAAACTTGATGAACACTAGATTAAAAGATCAATTTAACCAGAAGCTAAAACCCTCGATTATGGGATATTTAAGTTTTAACATTGTTTTTAAAAATATTTGATTTATCGTCAAAAAGAATTGAGGAAAGCTTAATGTAATTTTAGATTTACGAATCACGGATTTCCAGTTGAGAAAGAGAGCTTTTGGGAAGTTGACAAAGATGATCAAATTTTTGATCATTTTTCCTCTAATAAGTTATGTCATGAATTGCAATACCTTTTACAGAATGTGCTTTTTTTCAAAAAAGAAGGTAGAAAAACCTTTTCCAAATAATTTATGTGAAACTTAATGTTTTCAAAGGACAAGATATGGTTACCGCTGAATCTGGCCCCTTATTTGATGTAAAAATCAGAACACTGTAAAAACTGTGATAGTTTTTAAGTAAGAACTTAAATTAATGCATGTTTTAAAACAAGCACTGATTTTGATTCAAATCATACATGGAGGCCAGAAGAGGGTGTTGAAATAGTACGTTTTCCCAAATTTTCTCAATCCTGGTGGAATTGGTTCAAATTTGAGATACTTTTCTCTTCGAAAAACATAGAGCACAAGCATGCCTATCCGAGATTTTTTAACACAAGATGCATCTGATACTAGTGTATGAAATATATTATAAATAGGCAAGCTTTTGATCTATGTTTTCTGAAAGAAAATGTTCCATAAAATTGATTAAAATTTGAATAAAAATGAAAAATTTCGAAAATTGACATAATTTCTGACCTCCCTGTTGCCTCTGTGTATCCCATAACTTTGAACCAATACTCATTATGTGACAGGGGTGGTTTTCTATCTATAAACTGTTGTATCATTCTAAAAGACATCCCAAACCAGGGGCCAAAAAGCTTTTATGACTTGTTAAATTGTAAGGACACTAAAGTCATTTTTGGACTTGCCAAATTTTGCAAAATTTTATTGTTAGTGATAAATGATTTATAACAAAACAACTGTATAACATATGTTTCACAACATATAGATTTATTCTATATAAACAGGGGCCTTCTATAGTTTGAAGTTTTGAACTATACATGTATTTAGTAATTAACATTAGTACCACTCATTCATGCATTCATGCTGATTTGTTATAATTTTGTTGTATTACTTGTATTTATATACACCAGTTGGGGTCTTGATTAAAAAAAAAACTTGAAACACTTTTATTTTTCAAGCATGAGTTTACTCAGGTGACCTAAAAAGCCCCTGGTGTATACTTAAAATATATTGAAACTAAAATCCTCTGTTTTGCTATTTGACACTAAAAAACTCATATACATACCCAATAAAACAAACGAAACCTCCGTAAAGTTATAAATCTCAAATCTCATTAATTTGAATGTCATTGATGTAGGGTTCAGACATAGCTCAGTCGAACAATATTGAAATCACATTACATTTTTACTCTGGTTAACTAGAAGACAAACTTTTTTTACATGGAGAAAAATCCGCACTACAGCTTAGATCAACCAAACTCACAAAAATAACAATTTTTGATGACTTTTTTCTTTTCAAAATCCATTTAATCATTTCCTTCTAAAAATGTTTTCAAATGTAGGCAACATTTTTATGTTTTTGAACAAACCTTTTTATCTTGGGATGGCTTACCTACAAAGTCTGATTTATTACCGTCATTGCTGCTAGCTATTTCAGGCAATCTCATCTCCATATCCGGAGTGCATATTGTATAAGGTTGCTCATCATTTTTACAGCCGTTCATGTTCTCTTCTGGTTCAATGCAGTTTATATTTTTTGAAAAACACGGCAAAAGAAAATAGAGCAAAAGAGGTAAAAATAAACAGGCGTGAAGCAAACCTAATCCTATAACAAGGAACATTACTTTTCCAAAAGACAGGAAAATATAGTTCTCAGAAAGAGCTAAAATACATATTCCAAGCAATGAGGAAAATGCAGCATTAAAGATTGGTCCGCCTGTTGTATCTAAAGCCTTTTGAAGAACTAAATCCCTATCTAGGATGTCAATAGTCACAAATGCGTGGCAAATATGAACGCTAAAATCTACCGAAAAACCAACACTCATTACCAAATGTATCATGGTCATTGAATTTAAAGTCAGGTCCCAAAAGTGCATAAACCCAAATATTCCAACAAGAATGCTCAGAAGAGTAAGGGCTACCACACCTACTAAAAGTAAATTGGGTATAAAGAAAAACTTAACGAAAAGAATTACAGTTAAAGCGATCCCAACTGTTTGCAGAGTGGTTGGTAAAATTTGTATATATTGCTCGTAAAGAACAAAAAGAGGACTAAAAATTAGAACAGGAAAGGTTGCAGCTTTTTCTATTTGTCTTATTCGTAACAAAAAATCACCCTTTTCCTCAGATGTTGTCAAACTCAAAGACTTAACGTACATTTTCGATGACCTTATAAAGCTTTTATTTTTGTGAAAAGCGATGTCATTTTGAAACGAATTTCCACTGCCTGATTGCAAAAACTTATTTAAGCCATTATTAAAAGCCTCTTCTGAGGATGAGTTGTGAAAATCAGACTTTCTGATGTATGAATCAAGCCAATTAATTTCAAAATTGTTGTCAAAATACACTTCTTGTTTTATGGTTTGTAGTAAAGATTGTATACGAGTTTGGGTGGCTTGTAAATGATATTGCTGATTTTCAGGAATGCAGATTGTTACAATAGGTTCTCTTTTGAAATAATTCTCATCCCAAATGCTGTATTTTCGATAGTAGGAATCCTCAGGGACAAGTTTATACATTAGCAAACCTTGTCCTAAATGTATTGTACCATATATGGAACAAATAAGATAGACTAAGTAAATCATCAAAACAAAGGTTTTTCCTATTCTATAATGTAGGATTAGGTACATAAGCCGCTTTGGATATTTCTCCATTGGACTCTCAACATCATCTTTTTGTTGTGGACGGTGACCAGCAAAACATTGTATGTAACATTCTGATTTTGATTCCTTTTCATATTCATCCTTTGGTTGTACCTCGATGCTACAAAAGCAAAAGTGTCTGTTCTTCTCCGTTCGTATTTCGTTTATTGCAATGGCCGGGCAGAGAAAAAATAATTGGTCAATGAAGCAGAAAAAGACTGCAACTCCTAAAATTTAAATAATATGGGTATGAAAAAATGCATTATTCTAAAATAAAAGTTAATAGTTAGAGATTATTTTAAGAAAACTTTCAATCTGATTTTAATTACAAATATATCCTTTGTTTTTAAACTTTATCATAGAAAACATGTTTGTAGCGTCCAGATAAATCAAAATATGAACAGCTACACTTCCCGATCCAACACAAACCACCCGAATCAATACTATTTAATAATACTATACCTGTGTAAATGCAGAATATCCTAATGCTCATAAAAACCGAAGATGCTCCAATCATAAATGCCAAAATATCAGTTATCGAAGTAATGGTTATTGCTATTCCACTTTTCTTCAACATATACACCATCCTTTCTTCGACTGTTGCCGTCGTCAGTGGTGGAGCTTCCGCCATTCCAGACAAAAGTATAAACATATCGTCAATACCAATACCTGAAAGAATTTAGTGTTTTTTTTAAATCAATTTCTTACCAGATTCACTGACCGGGCTTATATAACAATGAACTTTATGTAAGAGGTTTATCCCATAAAAAAAGCTAACTTCCTGATTATTTTAAATTAATTTTTAACCAACACTAAAAAATTGCATGTTGTTGGAAAATGATATTTTTATGACAAAATATTATACATGTAGGCCTTTGATGTCATATGCACGTAAAAATAGCATTATATATACAGTGGACCTTCAGATATCCGGACGCCAGATATCCGGATGCTTCAGTATCCGGACGATTTTTCATCGGAACGAAATTTTAAAATGTTATTCTGTCTTGTTTAACTGGTGATTCAGATATCCGGATGCTTCACATATCCGGACAAATTGACTGGGAACCAAACCGTCCGGATAAATGAGGGTCCACTGTATATTTTTCGATTTCATGATGTTATCAATCGCTTGGCTTGCGTGATAATTTGCATAAAAACCGAAGTCGTTTATGCATAAAATTAAAAAATGCCAATCGATTGATCATCATCATGAAATTTAACTATTTGTAATTTTATCTCGGACAAAGACTTTGGAAATGTAAATATAAGGTGTTAAATATATGCAATACTTTTTTTACTCACAAATAGCATTGTCAATGAAGTTTTCTTTGTTGTCAGGCTTTAAGGAAATATAATGTCAAAAAATTTAGCTACATAGATATTCTATAATTTATTGTACTTTTATTTAATATTTCAGTTATTTGACATCATTACTGACAAGTGTATGACAATTTGTGCTACATCACAACAAATTAGATATTGAGCAGTAATTTGGAGCACCAAATTATCAAGCAACACTATGTTGAGCGGGATATGACTCTTGTACATAGGGAAAAGAGATGTTAACAATGAACAAGAGGCCCACGGGCCTTATAGGTCACCTGAGCATTATGCAACAACTTTCCAGTTACAGTGTATTGAATTTGATTCATGTTTTAAGCCAGATGCTATATGGCATTCACAATTTTGAAGGAGGCACCATTGATCATCATAACAATATACTTAGCAGTTGCTTAGCTTGGTTACTGAATACCCATACGCAGGGTAGGGGAACATAAATGCACTCCAACTAATCAGTAATATTCAGCAATAATCAGTAGTGCCCCTAACCATGTGACATAAACCTCTGACCTTAGGTCCACAAAATTTTAAAAGGCACCCTTAAAATTGCCTATCAAAAAATAAATAAATGTTTTATAAATACAAAGGAGCAGATTTCAAACAATTAATTCATCTTCAGTATATAAGTAGGACCCCCCCACCCCACCCCTGACCCCTTGAAATTCACAATTCTGCAAGATTAGGGCCCTTGCTCATCATCACTATATAGGTAGTTCATCTGCTTCATACCCAGAGTCAGAAAAGAAAATTTTCAAAGACTTAATGTATTTCACTATATAATTAATAGAGCCCCACCCTAACATCAGAACCCCAGACCCTGGGGTCATAATTTTAGAAGAGGCATTCTTGCTCATCATAACTATGTACTTACTTAGTTTATTTAATTCCTAGGAGCAGAGGAGAAGATTTTCAAAGAATTCATGTATTTTCATTATTTATAATCAATAGAGCCCCCCCTCCCCCCAACACCAGAATCCTTGACCCTGGGGCCATAAAATTCACAATTTTGGTAGAGGCACTCTTGCTCATCATAACTATGTACTTAGTTAGTTTATTTAATTCCTAGGAGCAGAGAAGAAGATTTTCAAAGAATTCATGTATTTTCACTATATAATCAATAAAGCCCCACCCCAACACTAGAACCATTGACCCTGGGGCCATAAAATTCACAATTTTATAGGCACTCTTGTTCATCATAACTAAAAGTTTATTTAATACCTAGGAGCAGAGAAGAAGATTTTCAAAGAATTCATGTATTTTCACTATTTATAATCAATAGAGCCCCACCCTAACACCAGAACCCCTGACCCTGGGGCCATAAAATTCACAATTTTGGTAGAGGCACTCTTGCTCATCATAACTATGTACTTAGTTAGTTTATTTAATACCTAGGAGCAGAGAAGAAGATTTTCAAAGAATTCATGTATTTTCACTATTTATAATCAATAGAGTGTGTGCCATAAAATTCACAATTTTGGTAGAGGCACTCTTGCTCATCATAACTATGTACTTAGTTGGTTTATTTAATACCCAGGAGCAGAGAAGAAGATTTTCAAAGAAATAATGCATTTCCACTGTATACTTATTTAGCCCCGCCCTAGCACTAGAGCCCCTGACCCCAGGGCCATGAATTTCACAATTATGGTAGAGGACTCAATGCTGATTACAATCATGCAAATAGTTTGACTGCTTGATGTCCAGGAGTAAAGAAGAAGATTTTTAAAGATTGCATTAATTTTAGTGGTTTTGGCTCCACCCCTCAGGCCCCGCATAGGGATCATGAAAAGTTCCCCTTCACCCATAGATGCTTTGTGCCAAATTTGAGTGAAATTGGTTCAGTGGTTGCAGAGAAAAAAAATGTTCAAATGTTAACGAAAACAGATAGCAATAGGTCACCTGAGTTTACTCAGGTGACCTAAAAAACCATAAAGTTTTGTATGGGAAACAGGTTTATCCCTAGTTAAAGGGGTTTGAGGTTGACTTGACTGGTTATCCGATAGAAGAAAATTCAGCTGTAGGCCACTAAATGAAAACGATCTTAAACAGCACTAGGACGCCATAAACCTATATAAGCTACTTAAGTCCGCTGTTAAACAATACGATCAGATATGTTTATGATTAAAATTGTGAAGTTGTCAATAAAAGAATTAATTCCGCAATCATTTGGTAAGACAAGTATATTAGAAAATTAAATACGGTGAGTGCCGATTTTTTTAAATTAGAGGCACACTTTCCAGAACATTTCGAGCTACATTTTAACGTCGTCAGTAGTGCGCCCACATGCAGCCGATTTATTAGATTCGTTTACCTGAGAGAAAATATTTTTTATAGGTTATTAAAATTTTAAAGCATTATTCAAAATATTTCATCATGACGTATGCCAGATTTTAACTTTATAGTCTTAGTGAAACAAAAGATACTAATTCTTTTGGCATTTTCTGGGACAATCGTCGTATTTTTTTTTTTAGAATTTGATATGCATTTCATGCACCTATTTAAAAAAGAAAAAAAAGTAATTATAAGAATGCTTGTAAGACATCTTATTTCTTTTTTAAGATCATTTTAATGAAAATCTTACCGATGACAAGAAAAGGCACGACCCCTACAACAGTTGTTACTTCAAATCCAGTTCCAGACACTAATCCAAATGAGGCCGTAATCGCCAACAAAGCTGCTAAAATACCAGCAAATCCAAGATTCATTCTGTTAGCAACATTGTTACAATTGAAGGGCGCTGCGGATATGGAGGCATAAACCATCATCAGTATCAAAGTTAATGAAAAAAATACGGTTGCACTTTCGGTAATAGAGTCTAATTCGCTGCTTAAGGAATCAGAGTAAGAAAATGCAAGAGAAGTATAATTTGTTTTAAGATCTCTTAATTCATCAACAAATCGCCTTTCCCAAAGTTTAGATAATGTTTCAGAGTTAGTCGTGTTTCGTCTCAGGTAGTAACGTAATCTTAAACCATTGGTAAATCGTAAAGTTCCGTTTTGTGAAACGACATTAGCAAACATTGAAGAGATTGAAATATTTCTATAATAAGGATATGATACATTTCGTGTTATAAAATCTGACTGGAAAAAAGGGGATAATATGATGTCGCCAACCATTCCGCATCCATGGGGTCCCACAGCGCACAGATCTGTGTATTTATACGAAGAACTATTTGAACCCTGGACAACTATAGATGATCTTATAAACTCATCTATCTGATTTATCTCATCGAGATATTTCTGTTCCATTATGCTTGATTTGTTTTTAGACATGATTAAAATTTCTCCATATAATCCAACTCTTGTCAATTGATAGGGCAAAAAGTTTTGGCCAGTAGGGTCTGTGAATAGATCCTCTATGTAAGCTCTATCATGTAAAGACTTGCTTTTTTCAGGTGTATACAACATTTCAACATCATTTTGGAATTTGAGGTTGATAAAACCGATTGTAAATAATAAGTTTATAATAGCACAGTATATTATACATTTGACAGGATGATTTGCCAAAACAACACCCAGTTTTGCGAAAACATTCTGTATTGCTTCTTCATACTGCGAAACACACTGTTTACAGGTTTTCTTCTCGGCATTCATCTTTTAATTCGATTTTGCTGAAATAGATATTAAAAGTGTCTTCTATTAATAAAAAAATATCACTAAAACGTTTTTTTTTTGCGATTACTGATTGATCAAGCATAAGAATATAATTGATACATACTTACATATTGATGTATTTTTTACGGTCTTGTTTATTCAAAAGTATTTTGTCCTCTTAAGTTCGAAATTAAAGATACATTGTATTACATCTGTTATTTATATAATTTGGATAAACACGCCTGACGGAAGATAAAAACGTCCAATGAAAAGCAATTTGTCTGATTGTTAAGCTTTTATTGCATTATTTATGAGTTGGTTTTTCCATTTATACATGAACTCTACTGAATGTTAGGAATTCTCACGTACAAATGCTAATTAAAACAAACTGGAATAATTATATAAAGTAGTTCAACAGTATCAGTCTCTTAACGGGTCATGATGATAATTTATATTCAGTTTCATTCATTCGACGATATCATTTTATTACATCTGGGTGTTAAAAATACTACAAAAAGAATAGAAAGTTGTCTATCAAAAGCTTTTAAGCTGATTTGTATTTCATCTAAAGACACTATATGTTGAGCCTAATTCAATATCAAACTTAATCTAAAATTTTGATATTATTTAATTGTTGTTGTTCGAGGCTGGACCGTTTCCTCACTCAAAATTTCAAGTTTGATCAGTGTACTCAAAACAATTGTTTTTTTTTCATTATGCTATAATATTTCCAACATTTTAGACTCATTTATTTAGCTTATTAGTTTTTCTTTCCTTTGATATGTACTCAAACAAAATTTTTAGTTATTTGAGATATTTTGTAAAACCATCCTTTTTTATCATATCACAAAACAACAGAAAAAAAAATTAAAAATAAAAGACAGATTTTTAAAAAAAAACAAAACAACAAATGTCGAAGTTCAAAAAAGAGCCATGTTTAATTGTAACAATAGTTACAAGCTATAAAAGCCGCTTTAAAGCTAGAAGATATACAAGAGGCACTGTTAGTCTAGTCAAATTATCAAATTTTCCATCAAAATGTGAACTAATTGCAACAGTTTCAAAACTTAGTTTTTATCAATCTATGATATGATCTGAATATATAACAAAAAGTTTAGAAAAATTTATACATGGGAAAAATTGAAAAAAATGAGGTCATTATTGGGACGTATTGTGTTCACTCTGATTAAGTGTTAAACGAACAATGTAAAGTAGAAACTTCTATACTGGTTTGAAAAACATGTAAGTAGGGAAATAAACTTAACTGAATAAACTGAATTGAAAAAATATTAAATTTTGGTTATTACAAGTGTATATGTGTTGGTTGCCATGGAAACAGTATAAATTGAGAGTATCACCTACTTTTGAACAATGAACCTTGACAAACTCGAATACAGTCACTTACGTTAGTTTACACACATACTCAAAATGCATTCTTTTGCCATAAATGCTTCAAAGAAATTATTTAGAAGATTTATGTAAATAGGTGGCAAACATGGATACATTATAAATGAATTTTACATAAAAAGTTTTGGTATTCAGCAATGCTAAGTATAGCACGAATATACTCAATCACCAAAAGTAAAGATACAATAAAAATGTTTTAATTAATATGAAAGGTAATATCCGAAAAGAATTAGGAGCAGATTTAGAGGGGTCAGGGGACATCCCCCAATAAGATTTTTTTTAATGAAAAAGTAGCAGAAAATGCCCCAACCCCCATCCCCCACCCCCCCCCACCCCCCAAAAAAAGAAAAAAACAAACAAACTAAATCCCTCCTGTAACTGAAAGATTTTCCCCGTATATGAAGAAAATTGTGGGAAGGTCTCATAGAACTCCATTCCTCCCCGATATAGATTTATATGTTTTACTCTGGATTAGGTAGGTTGTTATTTTTTTGTCAAAAAGTAATCTGAAATCTGAATTTTTTTTTACGCACAGCAAAGCTGTACGTTACCCATAGATTACATTGTAGTTGTGTTGTCCACCCTTCAGAAAATTTTCTTTCAACATGTGACACCAGTTTTGAGTCCCTGCAATATGATTGGTTGGTAACTTGTATAAAATGCTCAGAAATAAAAAAGAAAATACTCTCTTTACATCAGTATCATAAAATGCTTGTACACTATAATGAGTATGATGGTTCTTGCTTGATCAGAACTTGAACCCACCCCACACCCGGGTACCCTACAGGGTATTTCTTGTCATGAGTTTATTAAAAATGCTATCTTACTCATATCAAGTGGATCAATGTATTTTTTTACTCTCCATAAAATGAAACCACGCCCTCCGGTGTGATAAGAACATAGCAACATTTAATGTTGCTTCATGGATGGTGATATTCCAAAAAAATATTTCAAGATTTTTTCAGTGTAACCCTCAACTACATTCAATAATATGAAGATAAGACATGTTTTAGGATAAAATCTGAAATTGTTATCCCTTGAAAATGATCATTGTTGACTAAGATGTAGCTGAATCAACAGTAATTAAATTGCATTGAGAACAAAATATCGTGAAATGTGCGCGCAAAGGTTCTGCGCAGTACAGAATAATCATATTATTACCCTTCTTGAATCTTAATGTATTTCAAACCATTGCTATGTAATGTTACTTGAAGAGGGTGGGGGCAATTGAAAGCACACAGTAGATTATTTTATTCTTATTGATAAAAAAAAAATCTAAAGTCAAATTCTTACACAAATGGAATGAAGTAAAAGAGAGCAAGCCAAGTATTTGTTTCAAGGAAGAATTAATTGTTAAACTCTTGGTAGATACTGGTTATCAATTTCTCCTTGTTAAAACTCATATGTAAAAGTATTATTAATGTTTCTTATATTTTCCCCAAATATTTTTATCCTAACAGATATAGAAATTATAAGACTTTGGCTATAATCTAGGAATTCACCCGCATGGTGTAGTTGTTAGAGCATCTGCTCTAGAGTTGCGAAGCAAGGAGTTGATCCTTACATCGCGGCTTCGAATCCCACTGTGGGATGTGGAGACAGGTCCTTCGGAGGAGACCGTATAAACCGAGGTCCCGTGTCGCAGTAGGCACTGGCGCAAAAAAGATCCCTCACTGCTTAATGGCCCTAAGTGCTGAGTATAGAACAAAATGTGCAGCTCCTCACTGGCAAGTGATGGCGTCTCCATATGCATGAAAAATTCTCGAGAGGGACGTTAAACAATATACAATTATACTAGAAAGATTCACGTCCTTTTACTTTTCTTTTTTCAATGTTGCTCTTATTAAGAAGTGACTTTGAAAGCTAGTGTTCCAGATTGTTCACATTCTAAAGCATGCTCATGGAAACGCCGTTATCACCAGTCCCCATAAAATGGAGCTTCTTTAAGTGCCACATCAAGCATTTTACTGTTGCAAAAATGACCATATGATCTACAAGGAGAAGTTAAGTTTTTTAAAAATGGGTTTAAAATATTTTGTTAAAAAGTTACATTAAGAATTTCAAAAAAGAGCATTTAAGCATATAATTCTGTCTAAACGATTCCTTTTGAATTATTTCCATTACTATAAACATAATGCAGCTTTTGTACATGTATAGATGCATGGTGCAGTCTTTATAGAGAAAAAGGTCAATATCAATTGGCTTTTTATATAAGGTTCACTTCTTTTTACAAAAGCAATAAGCAGTAAATCTGGAGAGCAAAAAAAAATGTTTGAATCACACAGTTCAAATTTAAGTTCCGGAGATGCCTGAATGGAATTAAATATTTGATTTTTTTAACTTGGAGACCTTCATATCAAATCTTGTTCATGTGATTCCATAAATTCTGTACTCTTTATTTCAAAATGATAAATTTCTATATATATTCTAGATATTTAATCAAAATATATTCTGTGATGATGCAATTGTAACAACTCTGATATACATTGTAATGTACTTGTCTGAGAAGCTTCCTTGCAGAATTCTTTAGAAAAAGGCTGTTTTGACTTATTTTGTATACAAACTGTGTTCCATACATTTTTTGTCTCATGAGTATAAATTGCAAAACTGTCCATCAGATGTTTACAAATAAAATGAAAATAAACACATTCACATTTAGGAATTTCACATACATGTATATTGTGAATACAAACAGCGTTCCATACTTTTTTGTTTACATGAATGGTAATTGCAACCATTATATATGTGTAGATGATATTTGGCCGGTGTTGAAGTCAAAACCTTCACTTCTTTGAAAATCAAAATATATAATTTTTTATTTAGTTTTGATAGCATAACAAACTACATGTTAAAACAACAACTTTTAATGCTAATTGGCTATTGTTTAAAGGCTGTCTGTCAAAGACAGCTCATATAGAAAAAGTATGGTGTGCAAAAGGGTACTACTAAATTCATATCGATCCCTAATTTTAATCTTTCGATTTCCCAACTTTCCCCTATGAATAAACTTTTTATATGTGAGTTACTAATAGCTTATCTACAAATCTGCATTAAAATATATACTGTTGCAATTAGTTCTCATTTTTCAGTAGAATGACTAGACTATGTGAGCTCTGAGCTCACTTAAACTGATACTCCCGCGTACCATATGATTATACTTGCAAAATACATGTTTTGCTCTAGGAGACCCGAAAAAATGACAGATCAAAAAGTAAGATAGGAGGTCACAATGCCATTTATGTAATAAAGAATCGCTGAAATCTCATCAAATTTTATTCAGTGGTGTAGAAAGAGTTGTGGATAAAAGATGGGTACCCTTCAATATTATAAATTGTAGAAAGAGTCGCATTGTCAATGTTTTGCATTGGGAACCCCGAAATATGTGACCGATCATAAAGTAAATTAGAAGGTGTACAATGACAATATATAACAAAGATTTGTGAAGTTTCATTAAATTTCAATCAGTTGTATTAGAGGAGTTGTGGATAAGAGATGGGTACCATAAAGCGCAACAGATGGACGGACAGACAGCTAGACGTAGAGACGGACGGATATCCCGTTCACTATATGCCCCCTGCTTTTCAAGCGGGGGTATAATAAAAATGATATATTCTCCCTTTATAACCTTTTTGAATTTCAAAACAAGTTTTCACACCTATAAGATTACGTCCATGATATTTTCAAAATAAAGCTTATTTATTAAACTTCAATTTTATCGCTTTATTGGCGCATCAAGAGTAAAGCTGTAAGAATTGACAAACACATGCATGGCAGCATATAATTCTCATTGAAGGAAGAATAAGTAATACCTAATCCATTCAGAAGTTTGTATATGAAGTAAATGTTGTTTTGTACATATTGTCGTTGGCGACAATATGTACCTACCTTCATTGCACATTTTTTCGTCCATCAGTAGATATTGTAGCCGGCTGAAAGTAACACATGTATATATTGTCGCTGGCGACATTATGTGCCTTATCCTCACTGGAGATATGGCCGCCCGACACCTGTTATTACTAAAAAATATAAAAATGACCTAGTATCCATGTGCCCATATTCTTTTCAGAATTTTTTTGAAAATACTTAGAACAAAGTTTCAAATAATGCCATGGGTTTTTTTTCCCGAAATTAAAATTGTGAACTACTGAGCGGGCTTAAGGTTTATATAGAGTTCTATGGGGGAAATATTCGTACTCTTTTCCCTTGGGGTATCATACCGGTAAATGACTTTAGTCAAC